GGGGGGGGGCGGTAACCCACCATGGTATTAAGCGTGGAGTTCCTAGGAGAGTGCCAGATCTGGGCCTCCTCAGACGGGCCAGAGTGGGCCCAGGACAGGGGGTGTGAAATAGAATTTATTGTGGCTCTGATTATGTACACTCAGGATGTGCCTGGCCGGGGCCGGGCTCACATGGTTTGTACAATAAATACACCCGCGGGGCCTGCTCTCCGAGGCGGCCAGGGACGGCCCACACCAGCGGTTCAGTCCAACTTCCGGGCGCCCAGCTTCATGGGGCCCTTGGCCACCTTCCTCTCTGCGCGTTTGGCCTCCATCTCCCGCCGCCGCTCCTCACGCTTCTTCCGAGCCAGCTCCGCCTTGGCCTGTCCTAGGGGCGGGAAGGAGAGGGGCTGAGGCCCTCTGGGTGGAGCCAGGTCTGCTCCCCAGCCCACACCTGCCCCAGGGCAGAGCCAGGCTGACAGCCCTCTTGGGGAAGCACTTACGGTCAGTGTCCAGGGCCTCCCAGTTGTGGTCACCCCAGGAGTCCAGCCTCAGCTGAAAAGGGAAGTGTGGGCTGGGGTGAGGGCCGACTCCTCCCCAGGTCGGCTCCAGGTCTGCACCCAACCCTGCCTCTTTTACCTGGGCACCCATCTCCCGACGCGTAGTCAGGCCAGCGAATGGGTCACCCTTGTCGCTGGGTTCTGGGGCACCCCAGTTATACTCGCTGGCCAGCCGTGTACCCTCAGGGGGTGGTTCTGGGGCACTCGGCTCCTGCCAGCCCTGCTCCCAAGAGCCCTCAGCCTCCCAGTTGCTCCAGTCCGAATCTGGGGATTTGTGGTCAGTGTTGGCCGCCTACGGGAGAGGAAGGGAGAGGTAGTGCCTGATCTGCCCCCTATGTGGACCCCCCACCCCCACCCCCACCGAGCAGGCTCACCTGCCCAGCCCGGCCTGCCTGGCCCCCGGTGCTCCACTCATCCTGCTGGGCCAGCACTGACGTGGCCTCCTGCTGCAAAGCGGGAAGGAAAAGCTCGTGACCCCCCCCACACACCAAAAATGGCAGGTGACTGGGCATTGGCCTTTAGTCTTGCACTTTGTCTCATGTGCTCCTCAAGCCGTGCTCCCCACGTCTGACGTGGACACACTGAGCCCTGCTGTCAGCCCTCTGAGACTGGTAAACATCTAGATGCTCCATGCCCCTCTGGTGGAGGGACTGAGATGCCTGTCTTCGTCGATGGGGAAGCTGGGCCCGGAACTCTGCCCGCGTCCCCTTCAGGGCAGCCTCACTTGTCCTCACCCTCATCCCTTCACCTCCCACCCTGCTCCTAGGGGCCCCTGGAGTTGAGTGGGGGTTCAGCTGCTGGCTCTGGCCCACAAAGGCCACTCCATATCACCTTCTCACAGGGATGCTGTGCAGATGAGGGCAGGCCTGACTCCAGCCAGGCCCCATGTGAGCTCCTTGAATGGCAGCCTGTGGCCTTTGGGCTAGGTCCCCTGGGAGGCCCCCTGAGCCCCACTCACCTCCAAGCTGCCCCAGTCTTCGTCATCCCATTTGTCGGCAGAGCTGCCATCCTCTGCTGTGTCCCTGTCCTCCTCCTGTGTCTCCCAGTGGCCTGATGTGGTGGGGGCAGCGGGGACAGGGGTGGGGGCTGGGGCAGGCAGTCCTGGGAAGCAAAGGCTCACTGAGTGCCCCAGACTGGGCCCCAGGGAGGTCTCGGTCAGGGCAGAGGTGGACGTGGTGTGTGTGGTGGGGGGAGGGGCACCAAGAAGGCCCCCAGGGGCACTAGACTGCGACCCCATCCCCTATGTCCCCATCACCACCCCAGGACAGCTGGGCTATGGCTGGAGACCAGCACCCTCAAGCCCGCTCGGCCATCAGTGCGGCCAGTCTGGGACACTCACCCTCGGGCATTGGCCGCTGGGGGGCATTGGTCTCGGCTGGGGCAGCCGTGGGGTGTGCACGAATCAGCTTGGAGGTAAGTGAGGAGACCCCCGTCACAGCCCAGCCTGCCCAGCTGGCGGCAGCTCCTCCCATCCCAGGGCTGGAAGCCGCGTGGACATCCTTCTCTGGGCAGTGGCAGGAGAGAAAGGTGGGTGTGACCGCAGGCTCCCGTGGGGAGAGTGAAACAGAAACCAAGTGACCCGGAGCAGCCCCCTCCTCTCCCTAGGCCTTGGTTCTCCCGTCTGTGAATGAGGGGGTGTGGGGGGCAGTGTCAAGTCGGCTCTCTAAGGTTCTCCCAGCTTTCTCATACTCCACCTGGTGGGAGGGGAGCGGGATGGGGAATATGATGGCCACCAGTGTGGCACAGGGACGAGGGAACATGATTACGGGCCCACTCACCCACTTCCGCCAGCTGGGTGGGATCATCTGACACCGACTCCAGTTTGGACAGGAAGCTCCGAATGGCCTTGAAGGTCTGAGGGGGAGTAGAGAGCAGAGCTGGGGCTCAGGTTCCCCCCGGGAGCCTGCTAGGCCAGCAGGCCTGGATCCCCCGCCCCCGCCGTGCCTCACCTGATCCCGCACGGATTTCTCGGGGTCCATGGTGAGGCTGCAGAGCACAGGCAGGATCTTGTGGGCACAGTCACTCATTGAGTAGAGGTTGTGGGTGGCAGCAAAGCCCAGGACGCCCGCGACTCGGGACGGGGCAAACGGGTCCTTGGTGGCCCGACTGAAGGCAGAGGTGAGGACCCTGTGTCTGGTCTGGGGTGGGGCAGGGGAGAGAGCTTCTAAACACGGAGGGTCAGCCCTGAAGCCCGGACTGCCAGCCCTTACGCCCCAGAGCAGAGGCCGCCTACAGGCCCCCGGAGTGCGACAGATGTGCACTGATCACCAACAACTGCTGACGGGAGGACTGACTGAAAACTCTGGACCTTGGCTTCTCCGCGCAGATCACTGGGCACCCGGCTCCCTCAAGGCAACAGCCTGTGCCTCCCTTCCTACCAGCCCTGCTGGCCCCATTCACTGATTCCTATTACCTGTCTGGGCACCGCAGGCATCCGAGTTTACAAACTCTGGCTGAGGAGGTGCACACAGGCTGTGGGGCCAAGCAGGCCTGGGTTCAAATCCCAGACCCACCATCTACTGGCCGTGTGAGCTGGGGTAACTCAGTCCACCTCCAGGAGCCCAGACATCAGGCCTTGGTCTCTGGGAGGATGGTGGTCCATGCACACAGAGTGCCCGGCCCTGGAGGAGGGCCGGGGACTCCAGGCCGGTGCGGACACTTACGTTGGCACTGAGGTAGGAGCCGATCTTGCCCAGGCAGACTGTGGTGTTGCAGCGGATGGGGCCCTGGTCATCCTTGGCCTGCAGCCGCGCGAAGTGCTTCATCAGCTCCACGTTGAGGTTGGCCTCATTCAGCTTTGGGGCCAGGAGCAGCATGGACTGTGGGGTGGGGACAGCAGAGATTGCGGGCTGGGCTGGTGGGTGGAAAGGGCCACGTGCAGGAATGGCCTCCTGGCTGGGCGCAGAGGGCACTGGCGGCCCTCAGCGCTGAGCAGAGCAGCCACAGCCCTGCCCGGAGCCCCGCGGCACCTGCCCCAGGGATCGAGTCTGCGTTCCTTGGCCCAGCGCTCCAAGTCTGCCCACCACTCCAGCCTCACGCATTTCCCAGACCCTGGTTATTGCCTGGCCCTCTGCACACTTGTTCCCTCTGCCTGTGACACCCGCCCCCTACACAAAGCTTTAAATCCCACACACAGTGAAATGCAGCTAAGCCTCAGTGTGCCTACACGCCGCATGCATGAGCCCTGCCCTGCACCCCTCTGCCCCGGACCGCTGCTGCCGCCCCTCCCATCACCTCCCTCCTGGATCACCCCCTTCCACATCAATAGGCTTGGAGCCCAAATCCGTCCTGCACCCAGCAACAGCCGGAGGAATCTGTCCAAAACACCTCCATAACCTCCACGCTCACCCCATAACCGTACAATGACGCCCCCACCCCCAGAGTCTCACAAGGCCCTGCAGATCTGGCCCCTGCTCCCCTGGCCCTCCTGTTCCTCTGAGAGGCCACGGAAGCCACAGCGACTGCTCTGACCTCAGCCCCGTGGCCCCCTCCGCCCCCACACTCTTCTGGGAAGCCTGCCCTGCTCTCTGAGCCCGACCCTGCCCACCCATGTGCACCCTCCCCCTCACCTCACACTTCCACATCCCAGCCTTCTACCTGCTCCCAGTTCACAGTCAGTGTCCTCGGCCAGACTGGGGGCCCTGAAAGGTGCCCCTCCTCCTGCTGCCTCGGTCCCTGCGGTGGCCCAGCCCCCAGTCAGTATCACCTACCTCCCACACCAGTCCTGGCCCCTACCCAGAATGCTGAGGAAGGGGATGCCCCATTTCTCTGGTCTTTAAGTCTGTCTGCACTCACCCCCTCCTGCTTCTCTCTGCTCTCTGTTGGGCAACCTCCACCCCGACTTCACGCACCCCCCCACTCCCCCACACTGGCTCGAGCTGAGGTCCCCAGTGACCGCCATGCGCTAAATCCAATGGCCAATCCTCTGTCCTCACCAGACATGAGTGCTCAGCAGCTCTGACACTGCAGGGCTCTTCCTCTTCCCGGAAACACTAGTTTCTGGGCTCCCAGGACAGAGTGCTGGTTCTCCTTGGACCTCACCGGCTGCTTCTCTATCTCCTCTCACTGCTTCCTCTTCTTCGGCTCAACCACGTCGGGTTCACACAGCCCAGCGCCAGGCCCAGGCCTCCTCTCTCCCATCCCTGTGCTCTCCCAAGGGATCTCGTCCGTTTCACGGCTCTCCAAGCCCTCTGTGAGCTGACCACTCCCAAGTGTGCACCTCCAGCCACTTCTTCCCTGAACTTCACACTCAGGTAACCTGTGGCCATCCCGACCGCGCCACTGACTGCCTGAGAGCCGTGGGAGCTCCTCCCAGTCTGCTCAGGAAATGGCCACTTCGCCTCCCACTTGCTCAGGCCCAAAACCTCGGTGCCATCCTTGACTCCAGACTTGGTCTGTCAGCGAGGCCAGCTGGCTCCACCTTCGGTACGGGGCCCTTCTCTCCACCTGCTGCCGCCACTTGGCTCAGGGCTGCTGTCATCTCTCACCTGGGCCACTGTAACAGCCCTAACAGTCTCCCCGCTTCCACCCTGGCCCCGACAGTCCATCTCCACAGAGGTCCCCGCCACTCCTCCACTCAGGCCCCGGGTGGCCTCTGTCTCACTGCCGGTGACTGTACCAGGTCCCAGCCACACCCTACGAGATCCCCCCGCACCAGCCAGTTACCCCTCTGACTTCAACTCTTCTCCCACAACCGCTCCCCTTTTCACACTAGACTTGTTATGCTACTTCTGCACTCCAGGCCCACTCCCACCTCAGGGCCTTGGCACTTGCTGTTCCTGCTGCAGAGAACACTCTTCCTTGGATCTCCAGCAGTCTTGTTCCCTCACCTCCTTTCCATAAACGACACCTCCTCAGCAAGGTTTTCCCTGACCACTGTTTATAAAACTGCAAACCCCTCTCCCTGCACTCTCTATCTCCTTTCCCTTGCACGAGTCACTTTCTAACACAATATGAACATTTTCTAATTCTGTTTACTGTCTGCCGAGCCCGCTCCGGATAAAGGGAAACTCCATGAGAGCAGGAACATGGCCTGTCTCTGCATGCCGTGTCCTGCACGACATGGGGCACAGGGCTGGGTGCTCGGTGAGTGTGTGCTGACTGGAGGACCGTGGGCGCCCCTCATGCTCACCCCAGCTCAGTGGCTGCACCTCCTGAACCCACAGCCTCGCCCTTCACTGCAGGCCGGTGCCTGCCCCCCCAATAACCCTCTCAGACCCAAGACGAAAACCACGGCCTGTGTGTCCTCGGGTGACACCCCCCAAGCTTTGGAACACCAGGGGCAGCCACTCTGGGCCTGGTCACGCCTACCTTGACTGTTTGCTCCCGAATGGCAGGGTTGGTATCCAGGAAGCCGTGCACGACATGGGGGAAGATCTGGCTGTTGACGGTTGGCTCATCGAGGTACTGGATGAACTGCTCCATCTGTGGCCCAGGGTGGGTGTGAGGACACGGTCAACCCCTCCTACTGCCCCCCCCAGCCCCAGGCCACTCTGAGCTTGGCTTCTCCTCCTGGCAGGCGCTGGTGGCCAGGTCAGCCTCCTGAGCCCCCGGCCCCTCTGCAGCCTCAGGTTCACATGGAGGCGTGAGGAAAGGCCGGGCAGGGGCTGAACAAGCCAGGATGGGTGTCAGGAGGCCTGGCTTCTGGGCCTGCTCAGCTGGCAGACTGCACCATGGCCCCTCTCAGAGGCCCCAGCTCCACACCTCCCTGCCCACACAGCGCTGTGACAAGGGCCACTGCACCTGGCAGGAGACGGAATGACACCTGAAAGTCGCCAATACTTCCTGGCTCCCAAGGAGCCCCCACTGTAAATCCCTTCCATCCTGCCTGGCCCTCCAGCTGCCCAGGGTCAGCAGGAGAAACTAGCCCCACTTGGGAAGTGAGAGAAGGGGGCCTCTGGGGCTGAGTGACCCACCAGGGGGTGGGGGTGTCAGAATTCCCCAGGCTGCCAGGAAACCCTGGGATGACCTCCCTACCCTGACAGCCTGGCCTCACTGAACCCCTCACCTGTATATGCTGGGCGGAGGGATTTTGGGGCCCCTGTGCAGCCAGGGCTGGGGCTCCAGCCAACAGCCTGGGGCTAGGAGGTAGGCAGGGACTTGCGGGTCAAGCAGACCTTCCCCAGCAGCAAGGTGGGGTCAGGGTGGGGTCTGCGTGGGGTCTACGAGGGCACGGTCTGGCCGAGGCGCCCACCTGCTGTAGGAGGCGGATGCGCATGGCCCTGTCGGTGGATGAGAACATCTTTACCACGACAGGGATGATTTTCTGCTGATACTCCTCAGCGCTGAGGAACTTGCCCACCTGAGGGAGGAACAGGCCGGGGCTCAGCTACCTCCACGGGAGGCAGGAGTGCGGTGGGCCCATCTGACTTCCATGTGGCCCCCTTTCTGCCAATTTCCCAGGGTAGGAACAGGGTGACAGAGGAGCGGCGGAGGGAAGGAAGGGCCTTTTCTCAGCAGCCCCTCTGCCCAGGCTCTATCTCAGTGAGCCCTGTGCTCAACTTCTTCTGGGTCAAGGCCTCTTTCAGGAGGCTGATGAAAGCTGTGTCACTCTCCAGAAGCAGGCGCCCACATGCCACAGGTTCCCAGCCTTACCGAATTCTCCTGCTGTCTCCTCCTCACCCCACCCCCTGGCAAGGGAAAGGACTCTCCCAGGGTGGGCACAGCAGGGAATAGCAGGCACCCACATAAGGGCAGGGGTGGCCTGAAGAAGAGAACAAAGGATCCAGCTCCCAGAAGCCAGGAGAGCTAGTACTAAGGGGTCAGGAGGAAGGACGGGAAGTGGGGTGGTGGGCAGGTGACCCTCTGGGCCTGGGAAGTGGGGTAGCAACTCAGGCCAGGGTGGCCATCTCAGGGAAATGGAGGAAGGGCTGAGGGCTCTGAAGCAAGGGGTCTGTGGAGGAAGACCTTTGGAGGCACAAGATCACTCGTTCCCTGGCAGCTGATCAGGTGGCCCTGGCTTGCCACACCACTGCAATGTCAGCTTGGCTCTGCCCCGGGCAGGCTGCCCCTCCCCGGGATGGCCCTGCAGGGCTGTCCCCCATCCCAGGGCCTTCCCTTTGGCACCAGGTCTCTGGGCCCCACAGTTCCTGGGGCTCCAAGCCCAAAGCCCCTGGCCTGGCAGGTGTCCCCAGCGAGCTCCTGGCCCCACTCACCTTGAAGAGGGGTGTGAGGACCACGGCCCCGGCACTACCAAACTCAAAGGCGGTCAGCAGCTGGGGCAGCACCTTGTGCCGGCAGAAGTCCTCAGGGAATGCGTCCAGGCTCTTGCTCAGCTCTTGGAAGAACTTCTGCTTCTCAGCTGGCTCTTTGATCTGGGGGACCAATGAGAGGGTGCAGGGAGGAAATAGGAATGATCACAGTCCCCCGAGCCATGGGTGGGGGTGGGGTCACCCCCAGCCTGAAGGAGCAGAAGTGAAGCTTATGTGCTCTGGAGTCCAACAGCCTGCGTTCGGATCTCCACTCCCCCACACGCAAGCCCTCAGACCCTGGGCAAGTTCCTACATCTGTAAAACGCGACACCAACCGTACCATTTCACAGGTCTGTTCTGAAGACTCCAGCAAAAAACGCACGCAAATGCCTGACACACAGTAGGTGCTTGGTCACCTGGATGCTGTCATTCTCATCACTATCTCCACAGCACCCGACCTGTGTTAGCAGGGCAGCCACTAGGGAGCCAGGCTCTTCATCACCATTGCGTCCACTCCTCACAACAACCTTAGAGTGTGAGCACTGTCAACATCATCACCCAGATGAGGAAACTGAGGCTCACAGAGGTGAAACGGCTTCGCCAGTTTCCCTGGCCCCAGCCAGTGCAACTCCACCATGGGGGTGAGGAGGTTCACAGCAGGCTGTGGGAGGTGGGGATCAGACGTAGGTGACCCCCAGACCCAGTCCTCCTGCAGAGCCAAAACAGACCAGGCCATCAGCTCGAAGGTCATCTTTAAACCTTCTCTCCCTCCTTTACATGGATTATCTCAAATAATCTTCCAGACAACTTCGTGAGGTAGGTGCCACCATAATCCACGTTTGACAGGAAGCGGAGGCACAGAGGGGACAAGGAGCTTGTCTAAGGTCACACCGCTAGCAAGCAGTTGGCTCGGATCCCTCTGCTGTGCTGCACCACGTGAAGAGGTGCTAGCACTTCCCCATTTACAAGGAGGAGGCTGAGGCTACAGGTCACCCAGTCCTGTATGCTCCCAAAGTCCCTGTGCTCTCTGCTGTACCCCTGGCCCCAGGGACACCGCCTGGCCCAGGAGAGGTGACCTCTGGTGGGGAAGAGGAGGGCCTGACCGCCCTCGAGCAACTCAGTCCAGCGTGGGAGGCAGGCTGGGTGCTCTGACCGCAAGGTTCAGGGGGAGCCAAGGCCCAGAGAGACAACCCCGCCCAAGATCCCACATCAAGCCACAGCCCAGGCCCTCTCCACTGCCCTCCCACGTCCTCAGGGCTGGCCAGTAACAGCACATTTCCTGTGGGCATTTTAAGGAAAAGGGCAGGTGTTTCTTAGGCTATGGCCAGGCAGCCCTGCAGGGCCAGCTATGTGAGGAGAACTCCACGTAACAAAGCTCCCGCTGCCCCCACACCACCCAGGTGGCCACAGGGCTCAGTGTTCCTGGTGGCTTCCCCTTCAAGACGCGGCTCAGGTCCCCCACCTCCGAAGGGCCTCCCTGCTCTCTGCCTGAGTCCGGCTTCCACGGACCCTGCTCCCTCAGGGTTTGTAGAAGTGTTCGTCACTCCCCACCCCGACCCCAGGTTCCCAGCCCCTCAGGATCTGGGGCTGTGTCTGCCACCTCTCTGTGTGCCTCACACACAGCTGGGTCACGCAGGTGTGGCCTCCTCCTCCATTCCCTAAAACAACCCTACGGGACAGCAGGTACTACTATTATCCCCATTATACAGATGTGAAAACTGAGGTTGAGAGGTTACACAGAGGACTCCCTCCTCACCATGCTGTTCTCCTGCCTGGAATGCTCTTCCCCCAGCTGCCATCCCCAGGGCTCTCACCTTCACATCCTTCAGAGAACGCTTGCCTGAGTACCCCACCCCTGGGTTTTACTTCCCAGCACTTATCCCCACCTCCTGGAGCACAGGTTTCATGTGTGTTTTCTGTCCCCAAGGAGAGTCCGCAAGGGTGGGAGCCTGGTCTGTTCACTCCCCGCCAGATCCTTGAAGGTAGTGTCTATGCGTGACTCTCCTTCCTCCCTGCCGCTGCCCACGCCCAGCCCAGGGCACTGTACGCACCAGGGCCACAACCAGATGCAGCTGTGGAATTCACGGAGGAACCGGAGCAGCCACTAAGCACCTACTATGTGCCAAACGCTGTACTCTGCACTTTAAGCTCACTGGCTCCTCACCATGCTCCTGTGGGTGGTATTATTGTTGTTGTTATCAACCCCATTTTCAAGCCAAGAGGCCTGGCTTGGGCCACGGGAAGTCACATGGCAAGTAAGAGTTAGAGGCCGGATGTGAACCCAGACGGGCCTAACTCCACAGCCTGTGCTTATCTCCGGAGGGTACAATTATGGGGACCCACAAGGGAGCAGGATGGGGAACTGAGAGGCCAGAGCACAGGTGGGGTGGGGGCTCACCTGAATCTCTTCCAGGAAGAGGTTGGTCTCCACGAAGCGGTTGTTCATGAAGCCGCCAGGTGCCCGGCAGTTCTGCAGGAAATGGGCCGGGTTGGGGCGCACCTTGGGGTTGGCTCCAACCAGCTCGCAGTAGTGGGGCACCAGCGATTTGGGGATCTATGGGAGAAGGGTCAGGGTCAGGGTGGGGGTGACTGGCTGGCAGGGATGGGCTGGGGCAGGGAGAGTAGCCAGGGGCTGGACACTCACCTTCCCGGGGTTGCGCAGGGCAGATGCCCGCTGCAGGGGCCCATTGAAGACCTCCCAGATGAGGCAGCCCAGGCGCCACATGTCAGCTGACCTGCGGCAGTGAGCCAGACCCACTCAGGGCCCCACTGCCCACCAGGGCAGGCCGGGCCTCCATCCTGCTTTGGGCACTAGGCATACACCACTGCATGGCAGGCAGCCCTGGGCTGGGTCCCTCAAATGATCCTCCCATCAGCCCCCAGAAGCCAATTGTATTTGCCCCATTTGACAAGTGAAGAAACTGAGGCTCAGAGAAGCAAAGACATCTGCCCCAGATCACACAGTTTTCAAATTCAGAACCCTCTGACCCTGACACCTGTTGCTCATCCTGCCCCACCACCCTGAGGATTCTGGGAACAGAGAAGCGGGCCCACCCTGAGGACCCTAGTGCCCTCCCCAGACAGGCAGGAGCAGGCAGGGGACTCAGGGACCTATAGCACAGAGTAGGTTGGGGAACGCCCCCTGCAGTCACCCACCACTTCTCCCCGATCGCTCTGCCACTGCCGTCAGCCACCTCTGGGGGGTCGTACTGCTCAAGTTCGGGGAACCCCTTGTGGGGCGGCCCACCGCCATCGCCCTGGGCTGAGTACATGTAGTCCAGGCCCCCAAGCTTCCACTCCCCTGCGCGGTCCACGAACACAGCCGCCATGCAGACGTTGTTGTGGATGAGGCTGCAGTCGTTGACCAAGAAGCTGAGGGCTTTCTGGGGGCAGAAGTGGTCACCCTCAGCACCTGCAGCCCCCACCCCTGCCCTTGTCACCCCTGCCCCCCCCCAAACTCACCACAATCTGGTGTAGCCCCCAGGAGAGCTCCAGCTCCTTCAGGCCACCAGCCTCCACTTGTGCCTTGAGGTACATTCCCAGCGGGGTCACGGCTTCTGTTACTATGTGGAGGCATTTGTCTGTCTGGGGAAGAGAGTGCAGGGATATCAGTGTAGGGTGCGGGGGAGAGGAGTGGAAGGTGAGGGAGAGGCAGAGAAGTGGAATCAAATCTGCGGGGCTGAGACAGGAGGGCTGGAAACCGAAGGCCAAGAAGAGAGGAGACTGAGGGGCTGGAGACTGGGAGAGAGTGAGGGGCAGGGAGGGCGACTGGGCAGCAGGTACCTCCAGCCCATCGATGTAGGCCAAGATGTTGGGATGTCGAAGGGTTTTGAGGCGCTTGAAGGCAGCTTTGGCCACCTGGGTCTGCTCGTCGGCCCCGGGCTTCACGTCATACACAAAGATGGACACTGGGCTGCCCGTGGCCTGTGGGGGGGCAGAGGGGCCTGAGGGCGGGGCGGGCTCGCCAGCTCCGAGTGTCCTCGGTGCTGGTTTGGGACCGGAAATTAAGGGCCGCCGGCCGGGTCTCGCCCCAGGTCAGCCACCTGAGCCTTGGTCAGTCCACGTGACGCGGCCCCGTCCGCCGGGCGGTCCCTC